GGACGAGGACGAGGATGAAGAGGAAGAAAAAGGTGAGAAGTCCGGTCTGACCGGACGCCTCCTTCACGTGCAAGTTTTCCCCTGTGGAAAACCCGCCCTCTTGGCGCCCGGAGGCAGGAAAACAATGCTCTGCGGGGACGCGCGCCAAGGGCCCCGCGGCGCGGGACCGGGGCGCTGGACGCGCTGCCCTGGACGTGGCTTTGCCCGGGGCGCTGGGCTGCTTGCCGCTTCCACGCGCTTCACGCCCCTTTTCCCAAATCGGAGTTCGTTCCCAAAACTCTCTTGGCAACTTGACTGCACATTTATTTGACTTTGTGACGATACCGCCAGGCCTTTAAAGCCACCGCATCTGAAGATGCAAAGTTCTTTTCATAGACTTTTTTTTTGAGATTTTCTTTTTTTGGTAAGTCGTTTTATTAGGGGCTCATGCAATTCTTACCCCAATCCGAACAGACATCGTGGTGTAAAGCACCTTGGTGCATTCATTGCCCTTGCTTTTCATATTTTAAAATAGTTTTGTTTTCTGCCGCCTGGGAGCGAGGGCCGCCCCAAAGGCCTGGAACACCCAAGGTGGGTCTGAACCAGACACATACCAGACAGTTGTTCCGTTAGGAACCACGGGTGAAAGTTGTTGCCACCTGTACCGAGAAAGTTAAATGGAAAACGGGCCCGGAACTATCACTTTCGGAGCAGAGTCGGCCTCAAGGGAGGGCAGGTGCATTTGATTGGAGGCGTGAGAGAAAACGACGCTGCACTTACGGTAGTATGGTGCCAGCGAATTCAGCTTATTCTCTGAGCTGCTTTAACTTCCTGTTTTTCACCCTTGAGGGAGATTCAAATCACAAATACTGGGGTTTTTGGGGGGAAGGGGCGGGGTTGGACGATTTTCGCCTAGTCTACGCTTATTTTGCATATAGCTGTACCTCTGACAGGCTGGGGGAAGAGGTGGGAAGTTTACTGCTCAAACAGGTTTAAGGACCCGTGTACGGTTGACCTGGTCAGCACTTGCAAATGCCATCCAGACTACAAAATTGGCCTTTTGCTTGGTTAAAATTGTGTGGTCTCTAAAGAGAGCATTCCCTATTTAAGTATAAAGACCTTAGAACAAAATATAAATGATTTCTAAAATAGTCATACGGTATTATTTCCCTGCCCTTCAATGCCTCTATTGGTCAAAGGCTTTCTCAGCACTTTTTCCTCTAGTGTTATTTGCTCTTCCGTGCCCCTGGGGTTGGGATACCATCACAAATAATGAGTATTTGTGTGGGGGGACTAAATGTCTCTTAAAAATAATATAATATGCTAACACTAACACATGAGGGATTGTCAGGAGTTCAGAGAATCTCCCATTTTGAACTAGAATAAATAGTAATTTTTTATAGCATGATAATTTCATTTGTTTATTTTTTTAATGAATAGGTTTTCTTCCCCTTAACTCTGAAAACTTAAATCCACAATGAAGGCACCGTGGAAGCAAGGCAGTGAAATTAATGTCAGAACAAGCAAGGGGTCAGATTGGCCAAACCGAGCCAGTGGTTTTGTGGTTGAGTCTTGTGTGAAAGAAAAAGTGAAAATTTTCAACGATCACGCCAAGGTTTCTGTCTCAGGCAGCTGAGTGTATAGCAAAACCGTATTTGCTCAAGAAAGTAATTGACAGAGATGAGCAAGCTTCAAGGTGATCCTGGCTTCTGTTTTGCATGTGTTAAGAGTCATGTTGGCAGCCAGGTGTTCAAAAGGGCTTCCAACCGGTCATGGAAAATTTCTTAGCACTAACTTTTTGAAGCTTTCTGTGTATTGGCTGATGTAGAAAGTTATAACTGTAGAGAAAGGCAAGGAAGGGTTCAAATCACTCAGACAATGGAAACAGTGAAAACTGTTTTTAACTCTTTATGTACAATTGCCAGAATATCTATTAGACTCTACAAATTTACTTCAAGTCTTCCTATCCGTCAAAACCAGCTCCAATATAATGATCACTTTCCTTATCCAAAATAAACATTCCCTCCTTAATTCATGGCACTTTTATTTATTTTATTTTTGTCCAAATACTTTTTTTGGGGGCTCTTAAATCTCTTACCACAATCCATACATTCACCCAATGTGTCAAGCACATCTGCACATAGGCTGCTGCCATCATTTTCCAAGCATTTTCTTCCCCCTCTCTGCCCTCCCTCCCTC